ACTCCTTGCGAACCCGCACACGTTCCACGACCCGACTCTCAGCTTGTGCTTTTCCCTTTTGGAGATTTTGCGCACTCTATCATTCGCCTTCCACTTCTTCTCGGCATTCTTCTGGCTTGCCTGCTCGCCTCCCCCGCCCGGTCCCTTCTTCGCCTCCGTCGCCCTCGCCTCTTGTCTCCTTACCTTCTCTGTTTCTATCATGTTCGCGATGCAAACCCTCCATCCAAACTTCCTTACGAAGTTCGACAGCTTCTCGATGTCAACCCCCAAGAGCTCTTGGCTGTCTCCCTTGGTCAATTTCACCCGGAAGTGTTCATGCTCTCTGCCTACTTGTCCCCTTCCTAGGCAGTGCATTTCCTCCCTGTCACAACAGTTCTTGAACTCTATCCTCGTCATGTCCCTTGGAATACCAAGCAGCAGCAGCTGCAACCTGTCTCCCTTCCATAGTTTCTGCTTCCATCCTCCCGGCTTCTTCACCATCCTCATGATCTCTACGGCAACTGGACCGTGGCCACTTGTTTTTNCCTCCGTCGCCCTCGCCTCTTGTCTCCTCACCTTCCCTGTTTCTATCATGTCCGCGATGCAAACCCTCCATCCAAACTTCCTTACGTAGTTCGACAGCTTNAACAGTTCTTGAACTCTATCCTCGTCATGTCCCTTGGAATACCAAGCAGCAGCAGCTGCAACCTGTCTCCCTTCCATAGTTTCTGCTTCCATCCTCCCGGCTTCTTCACCATCCTCATGATCTCTACGGCAACTGGACCGTGGCCACTTGTTTTTTGTGTTGTTTCAGCAAGGTGTACGGAATACCCGGCCTTCCCAATCCGAGTGTCCGGTGAGGGTTGTGGTTCCTTTCAGTTCTTTTGCCGGCTCAGCGACGCAAATAGCGCCTCCAACACAGGTACGTAGTCTAGATCCAAGTTTACACCTCCTGGCACAAGTACCCCAGTCTGGTGCCGGGCGCTCTGCTTAGTAAACACCCAGACTTCCCCCGACCACCCAATTTATCATCTCCGAAGTCCGGCGGTACAAGCTAGTTTCCTCCTGGGAGACTATTTTCACCACAATATGTTGAGGGACGACTTGCATCGCCTAAGATCCTACTCACACGCTGGGATGGAGCGGAAACCAACGTCCAGCTTCTCACGTACGCTTCACCATGGGTTGTTACCCCACCCACGCTCCCGAGTAGACCTATCTGCCGAACGTTCGGCCAATAATTCCTTATTGCTTCGTACTCGCCTCTCTCCAACCGAAAACAATGCGTTTGATGGATAATTCGGGTGGCTCAGTTCTGTGTGTTGGAGTGTAGAGCAGCTCGGCGATGACGGGCCGTAGATGGGTAGAAAGCGTGGTGGAAAACGTGTTGTATTCTTCGGGGGCGTGCTCGCGGTCGTACATCTGTCACGGCATCAAGCACGCGTCACGCTCATCACGCTCAAATAACCAAATGGATCTCTCTGAACCTCCATCAAACTCTTCCCACTTTCCCAGAAAGTTTTGATTCCTCCGCATCTCATCACTGCAATTTCCGTACGTACGTACTGAAGATCTTACCCGTCATACTATGCCACGAGTACCCACAATATATCTAATAGCGATGTGCGTGCCGCACATCTAGCTCCGCAGTTATTGCGCGGTTGGTCACGTCGTTCAGCTTGCTCGACGTGAGTAATAAGCTTTGCTTTGATGGCTCAATGTTTTATTGATCCACTTCAAGCAACGAACACCCCCCCCCCC